TGCAGCCTGCCAGCAGCCACACAACTCAGCAACGGCTGCAGAATCGCACTGCCAGCCAGACCCTGTCCCAGACTGTCTTGCTTTCACTCCCAATCCTTCATCCCCGCTTCTACCGGCAGCACTTACCCACTGCGCAGCCAAAAATTGAAAGAAGAAAAAGCAGAACAAGAACAGATTCCCTCCTGCAAAAGATTCGGCCTCTCCCGGCCAAAGCTCTCGCTGCACACCGGGACCGGGGCCGCTGCACCGACGGCGTCCCCCCCCTGCCGCAGCGGACAGCAACAAACAGGCACCTGCGGCTACCCAGGAGCCAGCCGCGCCGGAGCGCCGCACACGCATTAAGCACCCACCGCGAGGCCCCCCCCTCGCTGGGTGCTGGAGGGGACCAAGCCCGGCCGCCCACGCCGCTGCGCACCGGAGCCGGGAGCTCGGGGGCACCGCGAGAGAGCTCCGGGGGCACGGAGCCGCCGGGCGAAGCGCGCAGCTCACCTGAGTGTCAATCATCATCATGCCCCGCGCATAGCCCCGCGGCGGGGGAGAGCCGCCGGGCCCCGCTCCGGGGTCCCGCGGGGCCAGGTCACCGCCGCTCAGCGCTGCCCATGGAGCTCCGCCGCCCCCGGGAGCCTCCAGAGCCAGCGCCGAGCGCGGCCGGGAGCGCCGAGGGCAGGGCGGGGCGGGACGGCGAGGCCGGGGGCGGGGCCAGACTCGGGGCCCACGGGCGCTGCGGGGCGGGGAGCGCGTCCTCGTGCGCGGAAAAGGGGGCGCGGGGACCCCGGGGAGAAGCTGCGGGAGGTTCCGGTGCGGGGCTGCCCTGGGAGCCGCGGAGCTGCGAGCGGCGGCTCCGCGCTCCCCGCGCTCCGAGGCCGGCGCTGCGGCGCTGCGGTGATGTCAGGAGAAGCAGGAGCCAGAGGAGGCCGCGTCACTTCGTGGCCGAGTGCACGCAGCCGGTGCGATGCTCCCGGTCCGGGGGGACACCCACTGGCTCTTGCTGTAGGGCAGCATCGTGTAGTTATAATAACGGTATCAGTGCTGGACAGTGGGAAAATACGTACTTCAAAAGGTCTCGCTACGGTGAAAGAAAACCAAAACCAAACCAGCAAAACAAAAACCCAGAATGAAGCACTTTTAAAAAGCAATTTCTTATCTTAATCAGACTTCCTTTAAATTAACTAAAGGTTCAGCAGGGGCAGGGGGATGAGGAGGGGATACAAGCAGCAGACTTCTGGTTAAATCTGTCTGGCTATTCCTATGACTTTATACCGGTTTTACATGAAACAGAGACATTGGGGTTTTCTGTATTTAATCTAAATCTAGCCCAAGACAAGACAAGCATTACTCTCGTGCTTAGAGAAAGAAGGGAGATGGGTGGGTAGGCAGACATCTAAAAGTCGCTCCTCCCATGTGTTTTGCTGGCTGTGCTTTCCTGGATGATTTGATTTTATGGACCTACACGTGGAGCAGAGCTGCAGGATGGGGGATTTGGTATGAGTAATGTGCAACTGCTCCTGTAAACTCCTTCTCCAGTTCCTGCTGTCCCTGGAAGTGCTGTCGCTGTCATGGTCCCTCCACCTGCAGAGCAGCCGTTGCTCTCTGTGTGGTTCACCTCTGGGGATCCCAGATACTTGCTGGGGCAGTGAGGCAAGGCACAGCAGGGGCAATTCAAGTGAGAAAATAGTCACCCTGGTGCTTAGAGCTGCCCTTTGAAATTAAAGCAAACCCCCACTGAGAAAGAAACTCATTCTGTGCATCCCATTCACTAGTGAGCAACCAAGACTAGTCCCTGTGCAGACACAGAGAGACAGCTCCTTCCTCAGAAAGCCACAGGCTAAACAGGTTAAGACAAAGGGCAGGATAGTAAAACCAGCCATTCTGGCAGGGAGCTCACAGCCTTCCAGATCCTTCCCACCACATGGTGCTTTAGGCAGACACGCATTCCCCATGCTGGTTTAATTCAGGGAATGTGTAACTGATGTTCTTATCCTTTCTCATCCATGTCTGCCCCAGGACAATCTCATCTCCATGATCCTGGCCACAGATCTCCCACAGAGGTTTGACAAGGCCAATCCTTTCATAACTACCCTTTTATACCATATCAAAGTGATTCAAAATAATATTTCTAGTCAGTAATGTCAGGCAACACAACACATGGGAGGGTTAAGGGAAAACTGAATAGGAGCAGAAAAGGGTGCTGGTCTGGCTTATGGGAAATAATTCTTGTCCTGTCAGTGAGGAGAACAAGAGGATCATGGTCTGTCCTCACCTCGGATCATATTCAGTGCTGGAAGTTTCTGTTTCTGATCCCCTGAGAAGTTTTCCCTTTGGGGATGAATGCACTGTGCAAATCACCAGCCAGGACAAGGAAAGAAAAAGCTTGTCAGAGGGGTTCTTAAACAGACAATGAATGATGAGTCTATTCCAGCCAAGCGGATGGATGGATGGATGGATGGATGGATGGATGGATGGAACAAGGGGCCATGGGGGAGGCAACAAGCTACTAATCCAAGACTTGGATAAGGACAAACAGAGCTTGAGTTGGAAATGCCTTGAAAGCAGTATAAATCAGCCAGTGATTTATTTACATGTGGTGACCCCCTTTTCATGCAGTATTATGTGTGTGTTTCCAAGTCCAAATCTCTTTGCCACAAGGACATGTAAGACAAGCATTGTACCTTGTGGCAAATGGAGGAAAACCTCACATGCAAGAGTAGTAGGCTGTTGCCTTACTACCACATGCCTCAGTTTCCCCACTGAGTAATGGATGTCAATGGGGGATTCAGATCAGAAAGTATGTCCTTGGGAAGCTCCCACCCTTGGGAAGGCCCACAAGCCTCAGGCTGCACAGTGCAAATGAGAGAAGGAAAGCTTGCTGCTGGTGTTGGGGGAAGGGGATTAATCATCAGGAGATGACAACAGAAGGCCAGGTTTTCATTAATTAGAGGAGGGCATGAGCTGATTCAGGGAGCATCTCCCACACTGCACTGGGGAGCGTGCTTCTGCAGTCACATTCTTCTGCTTCCTAGAGACAGGGAGTTTCTAGGTACTGCTTCAAAATGAAGCCCTGTTTGGCAGCACTGTGTCACCTAATATGTGACACAAGACCTTCCCCTGGGGAGAATGGCACTGCACAAGTCAGGCCATTACCACAATGCCAACAGGGTCCTGGATTCGGCCAAAAGGTGGCTAGGAAACAGAGCTGCAGACCAAGCCTCTCACTAAAGGTTTTCAGAGCAGGTTCCCCAGAAATATAGACCACCCTCTATCACACGATTTGTGCTGGAGAACTCCCTCTCATGGTGGATTTAATACAGGCTGTGAATATCTGCACAGGAGTTCAGTATGACAGCATGAAGCCCAGGGCCTGCAAACACAGACCAGTTTAGAGGAGAGTTAAGGCATAAGGGGAGCTAGGCATTAGCAGAGCTGATCTGTGGATGTGTGGCTGCTATATAATTTCATGGTTATATCGGATCTGAATGCTTTTGTAAGAAACCTAGCACAGCACAGCCACATCCATTCCATCCAACACAGGACTGAAATGGCTCATTAAGTCATCTGCAAGCAGTGGTGGGGCCCTAAAGCTTTGAATACTTGATACACTGCCATACAGCATTTTGCTTATGTGAAGAGAAGCAAGTACAGTCAGGTAGCTCTTCCCCATTTTCTCTCTTTCTGCCAAATGAGCTCTTTTTCCCTTCTCTTTTCTCCATTTTAAAAACCTGTTCCCTTAGAAACAGTCAGCTTAGCCCTTTCACTCCTGCTTCTTCTCTCCATGCCATACAGTGCTGCCACACTGCTCCCTGTGGCGTCTCTCCCCATTCCCATTAAATGAGCACAGCACAGATGCGCACAGCCCTTTGGCAGCACACCTCAGGAGGTAACGGAGATGTTGCTTACGGCAGACATGCTGTAGCAAGGGAGGTGGCACATGGACCTCCAAGCTGGGACCGTAGCTGGCAGCTACACAGCCGCTGTTGCCCAGCTGTGGCTGTGCTTCTGTTTGGACCCCCCCAGCCTGTTCCCCTGAGTGAGTGTCAGGCTTTAAAGCCTGGTTTAGGTTCTCAACACATTCCCACAGAGCAAATGTTAAACCCAACCTAATTCCACCTCTATACTGAGCTCACAGCTTCCCTGGAGCATTTCATTATAAAATGAAATCACCCTGTTTGCTGGAAATGCATCATACAGGTTTTTACTGTAAGTTCCAGCAGCTTCTAGCCAATTTATTTCACAGAGCTTAAAAAAGTTGGAAAAGACTGGAGGAATGGATAGGAAAAGATTACGTAGTCCACAGAGACATGTAAACCAGGGAAAAGGTTCAGAGCACATCTGTGATTGCAGTAAACTCAAAGAAGTTCAGTCTGGGTCTGAGCTGTGCCAAGTCTGTCTAAACTCAGGTCTCCAAAAGGCAGATTGGAATTTGGAATAAAACTGCTATATAAATTCACACTATTTGTCCTGTCAGACCAGGGTTCCTACTGCGGGCAATGGCTGGCACCAGCTCTCTATTGAGGTCCAAAAAATCCTGCTGCACACTAATCAGGTATAACTTGCTCTGAGCACAAGTTTCCTCCTGATCCTGACAAAGAGTGTGAGTTTAAATTCCAATGCATGAAACACAAAGCATGGAAATTTAATGCCCTGCAAAGTTGTTTGTTTAGGTTTTTGTGGGATTTATTGTTCAGTTGGTTTTGGGTTGTTTTTTGGGGTTGGTTTGTTGGGGTTTTTTTTTTGAGTGAAAAGGTCTTTACTAAAACTTTAGGTCTTCTCCACAGGAATGTTAAATATTGTTTTGATTTTGCCAAGTTTCTGCTAGGCCTCAGGAAAACACTCAGGCAAAGGCATCTGCAGCCTTGCTGTAAGGACAGTCTTGCATTTGGTAACTGGCCTTTTGGATGCTTTTTTGTGTGCTGCAGCCTTAAGTGGGAGGCTTGTATTGACAAAGATTAGGAACTTGGAAACATTTTCATTCTCACTTCCACTTCAGCTGCTGCTTCTTCTCCAGAGAAACTATGACATCTTCCTTTCTGTTTGTTCACACTGGGAACAAAAACTCATGGTGGGGCATGTTCTGTGGGAGCTAATACTTATTCGGTTTGAGGAAGGAGCGTGTGTGGAGGACATCTCTGCAGGGATCAGATGGTGAATCTCGTACCTCATTGTAGTTCCTATCCACTGTGGAAAAACATGAGGTTTATTTCCGGGGGTTTTGGCTTCCTGGCATCCCATACATACTCTGCAGAAAGCACCTTGGAGGGTTTGTGAGGGAGGAAGTGCCTGTTGAGATTACTTTCTTCCTTCCAGGCTGCCATGATCTTATTGGCTTTGTCCATCAGGATGGTCATATGGCAGATCCTCGTGAACTCACAGGCTTTCTTGATGAGCCCTCCAAACACAGCTCCTCCTCTGCAGAAGTCCCCTTCTTCATCAGGGATGTAGGCTGCTGAAGAGCTCCGCCTCTCTTAATGGGACTGGCTTCCAGGGACATTGAAATAGGCAGAGTGTACAGTTGCTGCTGTATCACCCAGGGTCTCAGGCCCCCAGGCATTGTAAAACACCATGTCAATGTCCAGGCAGAAGAGGTAGTCCACCTCCTGACGGCTTGTCTCTGCAATGTGCTTTTTTATGGCCTCCATCCTGAGCATGGAGATCTCTTGCCAGCTGGGGTATTTCTTGATGGGAACAATGACAAACCTTCATCCAGGTTGCAGCCAGACATTGGGAATTGTCTCAGGGTTGTCAGTGAAGATATAATAGTTCACCCAATAGCCTTTCATGAAATGTTTCTCTGCTGACTCCAAGAAGCGGCCCACAAACCTGGTGTACCTGCGCAGCACCACGTGTGAATAGCACAGCGGACACCAGGGGATGCGTGGTGGCTTACGGAGGGTGCTTTAACGAATGGAAGAAGACAAGGGATGAAGAGTATTGTCCAGCTATTGCTGCAAGGATTCATGCACTATACATGCAATAGGTGAAGTATAGAGGAAGACAAGGAACAGGTATATTATCCCTGCTTTGACAAACCAACCACCTATCTACAGCTCTAATGACCAAGGCACACTGGGCATTAGGAATACTTCAGGAATACTGAACATGCTCCAGGTGAAATAGGTGTTGAGGCTGTTGTGTAGGCTTCTATGCTTATGGACACAATACATGGGCATAAAAGTTTATGTCACAGATTGTGACAGATTTCAGTTCTGCTCAGGACAAGAAAAGCCAAAATAATCTTTCCACAGAGGAAGTGCACCAACCCAAGAACTGTGCCCACTGAGTAGCTCAGTTACTTTCCCATGGCAAAGGCAGTCACCCCTATGGTGAGATTCAGTGGCTTGTAGGCATTGTCTAGGATCTCAGAATTGAAGGTTTCTTCCCAGATGATGGGAGCCAGCCATGGTGTGTGACTGTGAGCACATCCTGATGCCTAAAGGAAAAGAAAGAGAATGTTAATGAAATGTAACTGCTCCTTTTGGTTTCAAGTCCAGTAAATCAGAAAGAAACACTAAAAAAGGCAGCTAGGAGAAGAGCATAATGACCACTGAACTCACAGAATGAGAACCTACACATATTTGTTATCAGTCTGATGTACATACAGATTAAAACACAAGGGGCAATATGAAATTACTATAAAAATATACCCCATTGCTGTGTTATTCAAATACAGATTGTGGTATGACAGTTTATTTTTCCAGTATTGATATATAGCTTTATCACGTTTAGATGTAATTTAGAATGCTGGATACATTTGAATGCTGTCTCTCATACAAAGAAAAGCCTTCATCTCCTGTGTGAGTAGTGGAAATACTGAATATACTATGTCCTGTTACAGCTATGCAATGCCATTTCAACTTTCTTTGTTCTCAGGGTTTCTTTCTCACCTTTCTGATTTTAAAGCAAGATGTAATTTGTGGTGTGTATTTCACCCTGGCCTGCTCACATCCACCCCAGACCATGATCTGTAGCCCTCTGCTAATGAAATCTGTCATGCACAGCACAGTGCATGACAGTGGGAGGGTGAAGCAGTCTCTCATCTGACACGCTCCCTGAAGGCAATAATACCGCAAGAGCCAAACTGAGGGACCTGTGAGGAGCAGTTTGACAGCTGAAGGAGCACTACACTTTCAACCCAGATCTAATACTTTCAGTCCACGTGGAAAATAACAATTTCTCTCCTTCCTATAGTAATGCATATGATTAAAAGACTAAATTACATAGGAAGAAGAATTTGGTTTGCAGGAGAGGTACTAACTCAGCTGTTTGCTTTCTGGGTTAATTATCTGAGAGAGAGAAAAGAAAGTCTGCAGGTTTGCTTCTCTAAGCAGGGCTTTTTTCATTTCATTTGAAAGGGCTGCACTAGCTTTCCTGATGACTCATTTCCATGGTATGCATCCTCAGTTCGTGCTACTGAACCCCCTTCAGAAGACGTTACACTGAAAGCTACAAGCTTCTCTCCTCATTTAGTCCAGAGTATTCGAGTTGATTTCACACATTAATTTATTCCAGTATGGAGGAGAGAAATATTAAGGCCTCATGTCCTGTTGAAATAGTGGGGGAGGGTAAGGGAAGGTATGTACCAACAGGGTACATGCTTATCATGTATCCCAACAGGGTATATGTTTATTAACATGCAAAAGAATGGTGGTTGTTGAAGGTGAACTGCTAGCGATAAGAGTCAGGTTACAGGAGCTGGACCAAAGCAGAGTACTAACAAACACCAGCTGACAAAGGAGTGTTTGTTTGCCTGACTCCTTAGCTGCTGCTGCCTGAAAGCTTCCATGGCTGTTTAAACTCATGGGCTTGTCTGCCTCCCATAGAGACTTGTCCACGTGAGTGCCTGCAATTTGTTCAGAGTAATATCCATCAGGTTAGCAGAAACCATTGCTGAAGGTCATACAAGGCACCTGCTTGATTTTGCCCTGCAATAGGTTCAAAGCTCTCCCACAGCTGCTTACAGCTACAACAGTTCCACAAGCTATTTCTTACTGTCTTCCAGCTATTATGTATCTCCCATCTCAATAAATTGAGCTCCTCTGTAGCAGCAACTCAGTAGCCAGCCTGAGTGTGTGTGCGAATGTGATTTTATAAACTCACCAAAACCAATCCTGCCAGGTCATATGTAAAGCTAACACAGTTATCACTTCAGCTGAAAAACTCATCTTTCACAGAAGAGTAACTGCCACAGACAGCTCCCTCCAAAGGTGCATGTAGGAAAACGGTAAACTGAGGTCCAAACAAGCAAAGAAACATTACACAACAATAATAATGCATATTGCGTAGCGGTATTTCTCTGTAAATCAAAGAAATTACTCACGTTTCAGCAGGCATAACAATGAGCTCCACCTAGCTTAGCTGGCTTACCTTAAAAGCTCAAATTAATCCCTTTTCTGTTCACAGGGAAGTAAAGGTTCCCACAGTGTGAAACACAGGCCCTGTGGAAAAAAAAACCCTACCACAAAGCCTTTGCAATTGGCCTCCAGAGGGGCTTGTTACAAGCACATTCATTTTTACAAGCTACATTCGTTAGTACCTTCAGGGAATACAGAACAACAACACTGCCGAGAAGTTTCCCATGTGTGCAAGCTCGCTTCTGCCTCCTCAGCATCCTCTGTATGTATGTAAAGTGCTGCTCTGCAGAGCAGCTTTCCAGGCTGCTGCTGTGGAGACTGTAAGGCAGCTTCCAGTTAGAGCAAAGCACTTTCTAGCATGTGGCTGGAGCCTGGGTAAAAAAAATAAAAGAGCTATTTGTCAAACTCCTATTTATAGACAGTCAGTAGCACTGGTGTTAGTGGGAGGAACTGGTACAGGCTGCTACTTTGGGGACCCCTTCGCAAGGCAGGCAACAGTGCCAATGGAGCTGAAATGTCAGTGGCCATTTTCCCCCTTTAATTCCTTTCCCCATAAAAAGATAGGTAGCAAAAAGTTCTTTAATTTGCTTTATGATGCCATACAGAAACCCCCCTTGGTGCTTCTTCCACACTCTCCTGTCTAATCAGTTTTCACGAAGAAGCATCACAAAATCCAACTTAGTAAATAATATTTTTTATATATATATAAATATATAATGGATTTTCATGGGTTCATGATCAACAGTTTGAGATTCTTGCCTAAAAATCCGGCAGATCCACAAACATAGAAGGATTTGCAACCAGCCTTGCCCCTCTAGTTGTCATTCTGTGCTTTGGCCAGTTTTAGCTAATTGCCCAGCTCATTCTGTAATGAGAGCTGCTACTGATGCCAGGATTTTGCAGTGCCACGTATTGTGCTTGATGCCTCCAGTGCATGCGAAAGGGAAAAGTGTGCATGAGGGGATTCAACAGGCTCAACCATTCTTCGTGAGCTGGCTAGACATGGGGTGGGCAGGCAACCAGTGCTAATGACTGCCCTCCTCATCAGGAGGCTTCCTAATTTCCAACCAGGATCTTGCTTGCAGCAGTTCAGGTCTGTATCTTTTTATGACAGTGATCATGCACCTAGAGACTCCCTTTACGTATTCAAAAGATATAACTTTTCCTTCTCTCTTCTGTCCTATGAGCTCAACCACAACAACTTCTTCAGTCCTTCTTTGTAGTGTTAACTTCAAGACCCATGATTATTGCTGTTTCAATTTTGTTTGAACTGTCTCTAATCAGTCCATTCTCATGAAACCTGCTGCCAGACCAAACCAAATACTCCTGCTGACCCCTCAGCAGTATTAAGTTAAGCAGGATTACCCCACAAAACTGAAATACTGTGCAGTTCATACATTCCAATGTATGCTTTGCCTGCTTTGCAAGAACGCAGTACTGGTGATGATATTCAGCCTGTGGCCAAATCTAACCCACACATTTTCTCTCCTAGCCAGCTCTATTGCATATAAAACCTTGTACTTGACTTTAGGGAATTCTACTCAATTTTCAGGCTATTTATTTTTCTAAAACTTCAAGCCTCAATTTGATGCTGTCTCTGTGGTGCTTGCAGCCCCTCCCAGATTTCCAATTTCATAAGCATCTCTCAGAATTTTCCCCCAAAACATAAGTGAAAGCGTAAGACAGAACCACTCTGCAGACGCTCTGCTGGGGAGTCTTGTTTTCTGCACCTGACCATCCTCATGCACTTACCACCATGGTGTACAGAGACTGACAGCACAGAACTTGGGTGATGGGGAAGGACAGTGGATAATGAACAGATAGCAGAAAGGAGAATTAAAGTTACCCTCAAATTCAATAGTAAAATTAACACACACACAAAAAACATTGGCATTCTGGTTATTTTAATGTAGTTTCAGCTATTTTAATAAGCATAGTTTACTTCCAGGTGTCTGTACAGAATAAATATCTAATCCCTCAGGAAATGTAATAGACACATTTTGAAATACTGCATCATTAGGAGCACAGCTGATGCATTCCCCCCTTGCTTCATTTTCTGTGTTACAAATCTGGAAGAACACAAGAGCCAGATGCATTCAGAATGTCTCCTTGCATCTAAAGCCATCTCACTGACATTTTCCATATTTGTCCTCAACTGATTTACAACTCCGGGGTTCACAACGAATGCAAACAAACACAAAAGAGATGTGGTTGCAGTTAATGACAAAGTCTCAGTAAACACAAAAACCAGCTAAAGCATTTTTAGTAGTTACTCAAGCTCCTCGAATTTGTTCAGAGAGTTTTCTAAAAGTGATGTGGTTGAAGGTAGCTTTGTTACTCCTAAATAAACTTGCTTGACCTCCTAGAACAAAGCAGTGCTTTATCTTCAAGCACTGCTTTGGGAAGCATTCCAGGTTGCAGGTAAATACCTCACTTGTAGACCATTGCATGGAAAATATTTTTCAACTATTTAAAATTTCTAAACCTGTATTTCAGATTTTTAAAACTCAAGCAGTGAGCTGTGTCATTAAGGAGGTGAAGAAAGAGAGGATACTCATGGGAAAGGCTTCACCCGTGCTGAAGAAAATGTTTTCTTGCTGGATTCCATTATTAAAGAGGCTGCCTTTCACTATTATAACCTCAGGCTCCTCCATGACACAGACAAATTCAGTCCTGCCTGACACTTGAATATGAACTTCAGTATAAATCCACTGCTTGGGCTTCTAGCTTTTTAGATTCTCAAATTACAGCTAGCCCCACAATGAATTAACTTTACTCTGGTTGAGATATGACTGGGAAGAGGTGCAGAGTCTACATTTCATTTACAACACATTTGTCAGATTTGTTTCTTTCAAGAGGCAAGATATAGCTCCTTTCACCACTGCACTGGTTCAGCACAACAGGAAAACAGATTCTGATGGACT